TGAGTATTTTATTAATAATTTTAAAGATTTTTACATTTTCGTGGTAATGTAATAAGGATCAAAAGTATTTCGCCATGTTCTCGGGGACTATGCGTGTTAAGATTTGCGAGGCCTGTGGTCTTAGGCCTACGATTTCCAAAAGAGACATAATATGACTTTGGAAAACCCGATGAACAGCCATCGACCCGTACGTTTCATTAGATGTGGATGAAAATCATTTAGGTAAATAACATTAACACTAGTTTTATGTTAATTAATCAATAAAGCACGATGTCAAATATTTTGTATTTATATTTTACATATCAGTTTTCTTATGTAATGTGTTGATATTAAGTTATAACCATAACAAACTAACATGCACAAACATGTAAATAAATTTTACTTACAAAATGTTATATTGATAGATCGTTCAACAACAAAGCCAAAAACTTTTGATCCTGTTTGGAATGAATATTTTGTGCATGAAGTTCATGGTGCTACATGTTTGGGTCTTACAGTATTTCATGATGCATCTATACCCCCCGATGATTTTGTTGCCAATTGTACAATTCCTTTTGAAGACCTTTTGGCTCGAGATAGAGATGCTGTCGATTTTTGGGTAATTTATATTACAATCTGAAAGTAATTTATAACTGTTGTCTTATTAATCATTATTTTATTAAAGATATACATGAAATATCAAACCCTCAATATTTATTTGTGTTTTTGTTATTTTAGGTGGATTTAGAGCCTCAAGGAAAACTACATTTACGAGTAGATTTAAAATGGGCTTCTGGAGGTGAGTTTTTTTTAATCAAATATCATCACTTTATATACTTTAAAATTTTTTGTCAAGTTTCACATATTTATTAAATTTTATGAATCATGTAGGGTAGGGCGGTCAAAGGTCTAATTTGAAATATGAAAACCAAGCCAATTATATCACAGCAAATAGCACATATCAAACAAACAACTATCTGTCTATGTTCAGTAAAACTCCTAGCTCATTCATCATTTTAAAAATTATTTAATGTTTTTAAAAATTTGTAACCTGGGTTCTTTTAACCCATAGGCGGCATAAATGAGATGGCCTCGAGACGAACAGATCTAATGTTTATTTTTAATCTGAAAGAATTTTACAAAATAATAGTACATTATTCAACCAAACAAAATATAAATTTCCAGGGTACATTTTTTTCAGAGTTGATACTGTATAAAACCTTGATCTGGTATTTCATAAAAAAATCATCCGCAGGGTTGGAATAAATATTTATTTAACTTGTAAAATATTATTTTTTATTGTTCACATCTATGACAGGATAAGGGTTCAATTTGTTTCTTCCCCCAGCCACATGTTAGTTTTTATAAAGGCTATAAAAAAAAATTAAGTCTAACTTAAAATTAACAATAGATTTTATAAAACATTATGTATACTTCAAAATATATTAACAACCAAAACACTAACATAATATAAGAAAATACTGCCTCTAATAAAAAAAATGTTGTGCCCCGCCAAAATTCTTCAACAGTTTAATTTTATAAATACTCAATTGATATTATCCAATACAAATTAATATGCGATCTTATGTAAAAATATGCATGAAAATGAATGATTTTTTGTTTATTTTTTAATATACTTTTCAAAATGTTGGATTATTTTTGATAATAGTATTGTAAGCGCCCGGCGCAATATTCATTAAAAAAGTAAATTAAACATTCAACACACTTGGACACTTTACTACCTCGAAGGACCAGATATAATTTATTATTAGAATGGCTATATCAGACCTTTAAAAATAAGTAAGTTAAATAAGTTGGTTTAGTTATTAACAGTATTTATTTCTTTGATGTTCATGGTTATGCGTTCAGAATGAATAATTTCTTATAACTAGCTTTGTACCTATACTAGGGAAGGAAATTATTTTATTATGTCAGGTAGACAAAGATGGATGAATAATATTTGTGAGAATTGAACAAGTATTCTGGAAACAAATGTACGCGCCCGCCTTAGAACAGCCTTAATACCGTTTGTCTCCTGATAGCAAATTCGTAAGAATTAGGGTGATGACTGATTTCACATCTTTTTCTCTCTACTTTCAAATATTGTTGTGAAAAACTTCCTAACTTTACTTGTTTTTGAGATATCGATGGTCGACCTATTTACCCGCGGACCTTCAAGCCTACCGCCCTACCGTTTCTTATATAGAAATATTCATTCAATCATAAGGCTATTGTATTCACATAGAATTTTGTATATTAATTGGAACCAAATAGTAACTTAAACCACACAAAATTTAAATAGCAAGATGATTTCTAGTCTTAAATGCCCAGCATCTTAATGGTATTTTTTATTCTCCTCCAGATCAAACGGCTTCAAATGCAGGAGCGGCTATAGGCCAGGGCGGAGGCGCATCAGAGGCCGGGAATTCAAGGCAAACAGCGCCGGATTCAACCGTCGGCGGGGTGCCATGAGAAGGCGTGTTCATCAGGTCAATGGTCATAAATTTATGGCAACTTTCTTGCGCCAACCGACGTTTTGTTCCCACTGCCGAGAATTTATTTGGTAAGTGATTATTTTATTTGTTTCTTCTAATATTGGGATAGCATGTATTTCGGGGTGAATCATTTTACATAACAGTATCATAAATGGACATTTGTTAATGATATTGAACAGGATTACCACATTTGAAATTACTTAATTTAAAAAAAAAGTATAAACTCTACATCTAAATTTTCTTTATACACCTAAGTCTGTTTTTACACGGTCTTTTTGTACACGGTTTTGATATAACACGGTTTGAAAATTGAATATTTTTAATTTTTTTACACGATTTTATTCCATTTAGCATGGTTTGAAATTTTATGTACTTAATTTTTTTTTGTCAAATTTAATTTTTGCGAAGTATGTTCATATCACAAAAAAATACAGCAAATTATGATGACGACAGCAATTAAATTTATGTTGTTGTATTTATGATTATCACTTATTCTATTTTATTTTATTTTTTACCTTAAAAATTGAATAATCTATTCTTTTCGTTCACAACATAGTTTTTTAGTTCCTGAACTTGCCATACATTTAATTTATATTACTTTTAAGATTAGAGTGCATATCCTTTTTATCATTAATTACTATGCTTGTGAAAATAAGCATTATATATTTTGATTTAATAAAATAAACATGAATTCTTGTTCTTAAAAATTCTTGTTTTTCACTAATTTTAATAGGTTTTAGAGATTGCGAACAAATCACCCATTTTTGTATAAGATCAATATCTTTTTTTACACTTTTTTTACACGGCTTCTTCTGGAACCGATCTACCGTGTAAAAACAGACTTAGATGTATTTAATTTTTATATCTGTCGAGGATTGAGACTTAGTTATTACATCAACAATATAAATAATCAATAAGTCTATCCATTAAATGTGGTGATTTTTTTGTTCTGCAGTAATTACTTTACTTACGGAAGATACTGCAGTATTAATTTTTCAATTAAGAATTTGAATTATAATAATTATTTGTTATACTTAATTGGTACTGTAGTTCCTTCACAAATATCATGATTTATATTTTTACAAGACTTACATATTCAACACCCTTTCAAAGGTATAATTAATAAAATAAGCTCAGGTATATTTATATTAGATCTTATAGTTATGTCGTTAGTTTTGTCGACGTTGATACATATTTGAAGTATTTTGCAGCCCATTCGTCCAATTAAAAAAATATTAAAATAGAAATTTCTTTTATTCCATTATACGTTTCGTCACTTAATGTGTTCCATCATTCAGTAATCTAAACATACTCAGGAATTTATTGTAATATGTTTTTTAGATTACTGAATGATGGCACACATTAAGTGTCGAAACGTTTAATAGAATAAAAAAAATCTATTTTAATCTTTTTTAATTCGACGATAGGGCTGCAAAATACTTCAAAATTCGGTATTATATAAATACCCTTACTGCATATCGATTAAAGAAATGGTCAGTTTAGAATAATATTAAATATTTTTAGTATCGCTTAAATTTATCAATTTTATTATGCTTTTAAAACTTGTGGGTTAATCTTTGGCTTAATTGTCACAGTATTTTTGATGTAGCAATCGAAGTATATATTTTATCACATTACTGTAATTAGACATTTGTACTTAGATCTAAAATAATTGTGATTATTTTTTCAATGTTTAGTTATCGGAGATTTTAAGTAATATCTGAAACAGAAATAACAAAAATATATACAAAATTGAAGTGTATAAGAAAAACACAAATTTAATAAGCGACATATAACGAATTGAATAAAATGCATGGGTGTTGAATTGTGTTTATTAATATTAGTCCATCAACTCACGGGTAGAAATGAATTAATTTTACTTGAACGAGTTTTTTCCTATAACATAACATAAATTTTCAGAATTGAAGTAATTGTGGCGAAAACATACATATTTAAAAAATATAATAATAATTTCAAATTAGCAAAAATGCTTACACTGTCCGTCCGTTATATATCCGTCCATTCGGATATATGGATGTATAAAATAACTACTTTATGAAATTTTGGGACTAATGAATTTTAATAAATACTAAATATTACTGATTCATTCAAAAATTAATTAATTATGTATGTTCCAGTCACTTAATAATTCCATGGCAAGATTTTTGTCTTAAAGAACTTTCTATCGGTAGTATCTTTCGGTACGGAGGCTGGTCATAATTAGTGTAGTTACAAATTACAAATGGTTAACTTTACATAAAATATTCATTTTATAATGGGTTGTGTGTTTTTTTGGGTTTGGTATTATTGCACTACTGAGATCGTTTCGTCGTTTTCAGGGGATTGGGAAAGCAGGGCTATCAATGTCAAGGTGAGCTCAAAATTAAAAAAAAGAATTTAAAGACATATTTTTGATCGCGTAGGCTTTTTACGCTTTATTATCTCTCATTCATTGTTTATCGATGTTTTGTTACTGAGAATGGATGTACTTACAATTTATCAAGCTCGTTTGTCATACTAATTTGAAATTTTGTATTAAGAACTTTCATATCAAGAGGCAACATCTTCATGGT